TGTGTGTGTGTGTGTGTGTGTGTGTGTGTGTGTGTGTGTGTGTGTGTATATATTCTATATAATATATATATTCTATATAATATATAGATATTGGTTAAGGGAAAAGTACATGAAAGAGGAACCAGAGAGCTCCCCAGCCCCTGAATACCAATGATGCCCAGTCTCACAAAGCCTTTCTCCTCTAGTCTGTTTGGTTTACTAAGGCCACCATAATTTCTCATCACTGACCGGACAGCATAAACACCAAGAATATGTCACATCACTGTCTGGAGCCTGGAAGCCTGGGATGAAGGGACAAGCAGCCTGTTTTCATCTGAGGCCCCTCTGTGGCTTGGACATGACCATCTTCTCCCTGAGTCTGCACAGTCTTCCCTCTGTGTCTATCTAGGCCTTGATCTCAGTAGGGTCTGCCCATACCACCTCATCTTGCCTTAACTACTTTTTAGCAGTTCTATCTCCATATGTAGCTATAATCTGGGATATGAGAAAGTCTGATAGGATTCAGTGGGGCCATGGACAAAGTCTGTGGTAGAAGTTGGAGCCTAAACATTGAGTGCCATTCACCGATAATACTCTCACCTGTGCGGTGCCTGTGAGATTGTGAAATGAGCAAATGAAGCCAGTTCTAACCGCAGCCAGACATGACCTCCTGCTGCTGCGGTCGCTGCTTTTTCCTTGTCTAAATTCTCACATCAGACCCACTCTCGTGCTAGAATCTATCCCTGGGTCATCTCTGACACCACTGATGTCACCTACAGAAGTTGTGTTTTAGTCCTCGGGGCCATGAAAAACGGAGGTGAGAGAAAGTTCAGGTTATGATTATGGTTGTCTCTCTACTCCTTCTCACTACAGACAGCCCCCATTCCCAGCCTCCATTCCTATTGATATTCTCTCATCCAGCTGCTGTCCCCAGAATGCCACTCAAATTGTTCTCATTGAAGTTACTCATATTCTTGTTGCCAAAATGAATAGTTAATTATTTGTCACTATTTTAAGTGACTGGCCACATCTTGAACCTGGAAGGCCTAGTCTCTAACCACATCTAGTATATTTTTCTCGTGACTTTTGTTTTGTCAGTTCTAATCTTCTGGTCTCTTCGTGGGCCTTTTTTATTTATTTTTTTTAACCTTAGGAACCCCTCTGTGGCATGTTACCCTAGAGAAGCTGTTCTCTACCATTGGGTCATGACCCCACTGGGAATCACACATCAGATATCCTGTATATCAGATGTTTATGTTACAATTCATAACAGCAACAAAATTACAATTATGAGGTAGGCAATGAAATAATTTTATGGTTGGAGCCACCACAACATGAAGAACTGTATTAAAGGGTCAAAGCATTAAAATGATTGAGAACCACTGTCCTAGAGTGTCCCCAGGCTACAAAGTCAACAGCTGTTTATGACACTCAATTCTGTTTCCATCCACTCTCTCAAGATTCAGACTGAAAATCCAACTGCCTCCTGGTGACATGAAGGCACATTGCCTGTGTGTGCATAAAGTTCATAAGTTTTACAGAGATGCGTTGAAATAGATAAGCCTCTCGGGTTCTCATGATTCCAGACAGAGGCATGCTTGAGCCTGATATACATGGTGCAAAGACCACAGATGTGATACCTTGCTCTACATGTAACAGAGCTGCTGGGACAGCAGAAGAGTTTTGTTGAAGGAGACCTTCAGAGGTACCATCATGCTTTGGTCTAACACCACTGATATCTAAACCACTAGGGAAGCTGATTTTAAGTCCTCTGGACCACAAAAAAAATAAAAAAGGAGATGAGAAAGTTAGCAGGATCACCCAAGAGACATGGGACTTGTTTCACCTTCTTGAAGGTCTCAGAGGCATTACAGAAGCAACACTTCAGGCTCACCTTCATATTTGTATGTGTGCATTTTATCTCTCCATGTCTTTCACAAAAACCCAAGCCCACTTTTGTCTCGTATGTTTTCTCCATTGGAGGGGCTCCGTTGCCCATGTCATCCACCTAGCCAGAAAGCAAGCACCGTGGCAGTCTCTCTTCCTCTTTACTTGATCATCTGTAAGTCACTGTATCCTGTAAGGTTTATTCTGCTAACATCTTGTAAGGCTGCCACCTCCTGGAATGGGAAGGCAGATGAGTGGTGGAGTGCTTGCCTAGTGTTTTTAAGTTTAAGGTCTTGTCCCAAACACTGAAAAGTGCAAGGGTCCAGCCACGGGTGAGGTCAGGGCACAAAGAGGAGTGGATGCAAGAGCGGCAAAAAGTGAAGAATGAGCCAGACACAGGAATCCAGGAAGAGTTTCATATCCTGTCTGACCGGCAGTCTGGCTGCTTCTTTACTCACACAGAATTTAGTAGGCAGGGATAGATGCGTGTTGTTCCAAAACATAGATCATAACATTTTTGTCCCCGGACACATGTTTTAACTTTCACTTGGCCATAAGTTTAGTCATTACTGATAAACCATGACAGAACAGGATTATCTTTTACAATCATTTTATCTCATCAACTTTTAAACAATATTGCAGTTTCAAGGGCATATTATGCCAAAGCAGGACAGCTTGTTCTCAGGCTGGTAGCTCTTGTGTTTCAAGCGTACTAGACAGAAAGAAAAAAATCCAAGCCAGCCTGGGAAGACTGTCATGTCCCAAGCAGTGTATTATGGGTTTTTAATAGTAAACATGCTGTCATTAGTCCCAAGAAAAGTCTTCAGGCCAAAGCTGTTGCCATTATTATTTAATTTCTGCCATAATACAGTGCTTATATCTTATGTGTTTGTAGAATTTATTTATATGTCTAATCTTGCTATTTTTTTATTCCTTGGTCATAGGACATATGACAACACAGTGGCCCTGTATGAGTTAACTTTTTCTAAGAAAGAAAGTTCTTAATATTTTATTCTTTAATCATTTATCCACAACAATTTTGTCCATCAGTAGTAGGAAAAGGTTTTTAATTTGATTTGCTGCCAACTTCTCCCTAGCCTACCAAATACTGTTGACTTTTTAAGTTTACTTTGCTCTGATTGCTCCTCTTGCTCCTAAGTAAGTGCATGGGCAGGTATGCCGAGAGCATCTTTGAGTCAGAGCCTCATAAGGAGGTCTCTGGAGTAATTATTTGAGTCACAATCTCCAGGGTGTAAGGAGGACCTTCAAATAGGCCCAGATAAGGATATTTCCCTAAAAGAGAGAGGGGTAGTATGGTCAGGACATTCCTGGGAAAGCTTAGAAACAGTACTCCTGGGAAGAGGCATAGATGATTCAGAAGAAAATTTCTATCAATCTAATATTCCCACGTTGTCTGAATAATAAAATCCCCCCAAACATGCAACATGTAGAGATCAAGGCTGAAAGAATAGGAGACTGCACCACAGCAATTGGCTCAGCTTTGCTGGATCTTTATCAAGCAGCTGTGCTGGCTTTATGATTTTTTGCTGTTCCCATTAGATATGGATGTGCCAAAGAAAGAATAAATGCACAGATAAATGAGTAGATCTTTCCCTCCTACCTGTTTTCTTTGGCACCGAATATTTCTTTCAATATTTCTTGTTTCACTTTTCAACCATTTCCAGGTTGGACCATTTCAATTCAGTCTGAGGGCGCTCTGGAAATCCTAGCTCACTGTTCCTTCTCTTTGTCTAAAGTCTTCAGTGGCTCTTGCAGCTTTCTGGTTTTGTTCTTGTCAGTTATCAACTCCCAACTCTCCCTGGACCTTCAGAGCCTTTCATTGGTGATCAGGAACCTGCTTCCTATCTCGGCCTGCTTTCTCCCTGGCTGAGCTCCAAGCTGCTGGGGAATTCCTGACTCGGATCTCAATTCCAGAGAGTGTGTACTCAAGAAAGGCTTGTATTTGAAGAAAGGGGAAATCAAGGTGGCCCTCCCAGCCTCATCTTGTTCTCTGCCCTGTTTTCTATTGTTCTCCTCTTGCATGACTGAGACCTCCTTCTGCACAGCATGGCTGCCTTCTGACTCCAAAGGTTGTTTCCTCTTGCTCTAGCTTGCTCGCTTGACCTGGTGGACGAGAAACTGTCCCTTCTTTGACCTGCAGAAGAAAACCTCTGTGAGTGTGAGTGAGACAGAGGGAGACAACATTCCAGGGCTGGCAGGGAGGCCAGCAGTAGAGGGCCCTGCAGGACATGGGAAAGAAGCAGCTACCACCCAGGATCCGGAACAAACTGGAGGTAGGTTGAGGGCATGTTGGGGTGACATAATGGGGTATAAAGGAGCAGTAGGGGCAGTCACGATGCTGAGGATCCCCCAAGGACCAATTGTGGTTCACTGGGGATGTAGGAATCTGTGAGAAGCCAATCAAAATCATCCTTGCACTTTCCCATGTGGCCACTAAGACAGAAAAGAGTCAAAAGACTGCCTTGGCTAAGTTTAGATTCTAGCCACTGGAAAGCGTACTTCCCAATACTGAACCGAGCATTAGACAGAGCCGCTCACCCATTCTCCAGCAGATCTAAACAACAGCACACCCCGAAAAAGGAACCTGTGGGCAGAAAACCAAACAGCATTGCATATACTGAGTTCCCTCCACGTTGGAAAGGAGCATCAGACATGGCCTAAAAACAGCCACCCTTGTCCCTGCCTCCACTTATGTATTGATTCCCACCTTGTCTCTACCACACTTTCTGTAGTCACACAGAAGCCTGGCTGTCCCCCATGGGAAGAGTGTAGAGCGTGCCCACACTTGTGATGTTGTCACAGGAATACCTCAGAACAATGGCCACTTCTCTGCCAGTGCTGATGATGTTTTCCCAGAGCTTGTTAACTGTGTTGGGAAAGTACATTAATTAAATCAAAGCTACAATGTGCCAGTTGCATATATAATGAAGTTATAACCTTCCTGTGAAGGTGAGAATAAATAATAATATTAATATACCTCAATGATAGAATGACATTATAGAGATTTTTTTTCTGTTATAATATTCCCAAAGAAAAAATTTAAAATTCCAAAAGTCACATCAGTTGCAAATTAAAGCCCCAAATCAACTGTCTTTCCCTTATGAAGAAGCGTAATAAAATTCAAGTGCTGTATTTATTTCCAGATTTTAGTTAGAGAGAGTCCCGCTGACTGGATGGAGCTGGGCTTACATAGGTTTCGGCAAAATTTCACCAAACTTCAGAAAGCTCGAGTGTTGTGCCTGGCACTGCAGTGCCACCTTTCTGTAACTGCAGCGAGTTAGCAAAGCATCATTCGGTGCACTGGCACATTTGCCGAAGCTCTGCCACCCAGTTCTTCTGCATTCACTGGGTCTGAAGACCCCCACACTGGTCCTCAGGCTTGAACAGACTCCCACTTTCTAAGGCCCTTCACCTTTATTCAAGTTCCTCAAGCTATACAAATAGCCACTTGCCCATAGCTAATGCTATCCTGAGCTCCAGAGCCACCAAAGTCTAAAGTCTCAATACTTCTTACCCAGGCTGTGGCGGTCAAAGGTCAGTAGATCAGTCTGTGAAGGAGAGCAGCTCTCTCACAAGCACCACAGTCAGAAACAGAGATGTTCATTTCCAAGGCACCATAGGTCAAGGCCATTCTCCCTGGCCTTACCAGCCATCCCACTTAGGTTCAGTGTATTTTGCTTGACAAGATGTGGCTTTATTTCTCTTTCATAAGTTTTATAGCCATGCACCTGATTTTGGGTGGGTCTCACAACTATTCCCCCCATCACTGAAAAGACAAGTTTTGACCTCTTCAAAGTTCATGAGCTGAAAAGCCCATCCTTCAAGCAGTTGTGTAGGTGAAGCAGCTACCAAGGAAGAGAGGAAAGAGTGTCTTCCAGAGGGGAAAAGGAAAGACTACCCGTGGCTGAACCCCAGAGCTGCATAGATATACACAGCTACAGAGACAGACAAGCCCCTTGCTAGTGGTCCCTATGTCTAGGGAAACACAGCTCCTATTGATACAAAGGAATGCTGCTTCCTGTGAACAGCTGCACGTAAGGAAGGAAAATGAGCCTCTGAGCCAGCCATGATGTCCATTAAAAATACAGCCTCCACCCCCTCAAGCCCAGCCCCATTACAAAACACCACTGTGTAGGAATGAGAGAACAGGGAAGGCAGGCAGTGGATCTTGCTGAAACAAAGAAACCTCAAGACAGGGAAGAAGCAGCCCCTTTAAGCGTAGCTTTTGTGAGCTATGCACTCCCAAGCTCAGCACCTCTCCACATTGCTGGCCTGGCCTGCATGCTTTAGGCATCTGAGTATTTGGACAATGGTTCACACAACTTCTCCCAGCCCCAGCACTGGTGCCCTTTGTAGTTGTCAACCACCATTGTTATTAGATACTTAAATAACTCTTAGAATAATACAGGGTATGTCACTAAGGCGTGTGAGGGAGAAATGCTTGCCACTGAGGGAAGCTGGATGATTTATACATGAGGGCAAGGCTGAGGGCAGAGTTGGACCTGCTGCTGGATTCCTGGCCTCCAGCTCAATATCAGTCCCCATATCCAGGGAAATGAGTCAGTCTGGTTTAAATGTTCCCACTTTCTGGATAAGATAGGCTCTTTTTGTGTTCCCAATACACTGGTGCTCTGAATGAGAATGAAGATGCTAGGAGCTCAAACACTCCATCCCCTGTACTGAGATGCTTCTGAGCTGTGACCATTTGAATGGTATCGCCAAGGTCATAGCTCACCCCAGAGACCCAATAGCACCCAGCCTGTGCCTTACAAAGTATCTTTTTACGTGTACCCCACCTTCTATGTCTTACCTCTCCCCCATTCTCCCATCCTTTGTCCAAACCTTTCCTTCCTCCATCCTTTCTTTCTCTCCTGCCCACTCTCTTTTTCCCCTTATGGCCTGTCCAGCCCTACACAGATCCTGGGTGAAATGGCTGTGGAACTGGTTCTGCGGACTCTCAGGGGCCTCACAGCAAGCTCGGGGGCCAGCTGAGAAGGTTGTGCTGGAACAGACGCTGACCAGCATTGAGGAGGAGCCCTTCTGGAGACGCATCTGCAACATCAATGCCATCATCCTGCTGGCCATCAACATCTTTCTCTGGGGCTATTTTGCGTGACTGCACAGATTAGTATTTAGTTGAAATGAGTGAGAACCGCTGAACCCTAGTCAGTCCCAGAGACCAGAGGCAGGCTCTCTTTCCATCATGCTGTGCTAACTGGAGACCACAGAGGCCGAGAGTAAAAGGGCCCATGAGGAGTATCCAGTCCTACACCCTTGGCAAGTGGAGACATGAAGGACTAGAGAGATCCCTAGGATTGCCCAGGATCACACTGGGCACACACTGGGTCTTCAATTCCAGCTCTCTTTCTTCTCTGTTGCCCTGTAATCCTACCTCAAAAACATCATTCTCTCAGTTTATTCAAGAATCTTCATTGTTTGTATATCTTCAAGTTAGACAGGTAGTAAGAAAATGAGTAGAGAATTCTATAAAAATTACCCAAGTACATTGTTTCCATTCTTTCCCTTTCTGCGTCCTGTCTCCCTCCTTTTCCCTCCTCGACTCCCAGTACTGTGTTTGCAGCATGAGTCCAGTGAGGAGGGTCTTATCATGTCCTTGGTTCCACATTGTGGCTGCCAATCCCATAAGAGTAAAGAACACAGGTAAGATGATGGCTTTCAGGGCAAAGCACTCCTAGACCAGGATTCTCCTTGGCACAACTCTAACTCTGCTTCTGTCCCCACACCCACCCCTGCAGTCTCCACATCCTCGGAGCTTAGAGCCCAGATGGAGTGAAAAGATGTGTTGAAAGCAACAGGAATCAAACAGCCCTATGGAGCAGAAAGGATAGCCTGGGGTGGGCACTCCAGGGTCCTTGTCCCTCTGCCTTCACCTGCCAAGACTCCCTTCTTGTCGTATATCTTAGACTGTGACCCTGAGCAGTTTTCCAGGAAGCTTTCCAAATGCCTCAAACTGGGTCAAGGTCCCACTTGGTCCCCAAAATGCATAAGCTGCCTCCTTGTGGCCCTTATCACACTGTTTTGTAGTGCTGTCTCCCTTCTAGATGGTGCATGCTTAGGAGCAGGGATCAACAGTTATATCCAACCTGACTTTGTACTTATAAGTAGGAGTCAATAAATGCTTGATGGATTCTTATGCTCTCCCAGGCCCTGTGAACTTTGCTCCATGGATGGTGGGACAGAGGGTTGTGGAGTTGGCTTCTGAGGAAGAGAGGCATTGTGCCCAGATGGGTCTCAGGCATCTAGGATAAATGGTACAGATGCAACTGAGAAGCCCTTCTCCCTCTCCTCTGTTCCTCTGTGATGCTGCTTCTAATCACCATGTCGGTGATTTCTCACCCTAACTGAAGACAAATAAAACTCCATTTCATTGACCTGCAGACACAGCCGCAACCCTGCACCTCTGCTGTTACTGCTGCCTTCAATTTTTTGTTTCCAGCGACTTTCTGACCTCATTGATCTTTTGTTTCTTTTGCTTGCTCTGTCCTCCTTCATAGATGCTGACTGAGGATTATGGCTTCCTTCTGACTTCCTCCCAAACCATTAGCACAAGCCATTTGTGTATAGCAGATTATAATAAAAGGCTGGGAGAAAGTGAATTTCAGCAGGAGCATAGTCTAAAACTGAATTGTGACTGACCTTCCTTCTGTTTTGAGGTCTTACGTAGCTTGTGCTGGCCTCAAACCTGCTACGTCACTAAGGATGACCCTGACATTTTACATATATGTGTGCATATGAGTGTGTGTTCATGTTAATGTGTGCACATGTAAGCACATGCATGTGGAGGATGCTTATTTTCTGAGCCATGGTCTCTTAATGAACCTGGAGTCATTTGCCATGTGTTAGCCACAATGAAGTGCCCTGTGCTGGGCTTCTCATTCCCAGCCTGAGATTGTACCTGAAGTTATCAGTTACAAGTATGATGAGCAGGGTGGCCTGAAACCAGAGAGAATCTCATTTATTAGTTTGGGAATACCAACTCTAACTGTTCCTCAGAGTCATGCTTTCTTTCAGCATCTGCCCTATAAGCTGGAAGATTTATTGACAAGGGACAGGAGAGAATGGGCATTTGGCAGGAGGAGCAGAGGCTGACTCTACCCTGTTTGCTGTCACTTCCTGTCCATTTTCTGGTTGTGGAGAGATTCTGAGTTCTCCCCCCCCCCATAGAAGTGGCTCCTAATGCTAGGTGTTAGCTAGCACACCTGGAGCAGCTCTGAACCCATGGTGATCAGAACACTGGTATAGAGCACAGCCAATGCCTTGCCCTCAAGTGAGACAGTTCAGCTTGTTCTAAATCGCCCTGCAAAGGTTCTCAGGGGGTTGGGTCCTAGCTGAACACAGCACCAGCACGCCTGTTCACATAACAGTAGATGTTCCCCTCTGTGTCTCCTCTGTCTGTTTCCCTGCTTCAGTCTCCTCAGATACCTTCCCCATACTCCTAGGATCTAATTTAGTGCATGCTGGAAAACCAAGTCGTGTCTTTAAGGAAGAAATTAGTATTTCCCAGGCTTCTGTGAAATGATGGCAAAGCCTGGAGACTTCTGACCAGGTGCATGTGCGTGAGCACATGCACATACACACACACACACACACACACACACACACACACACACACACACACA